TTGAAGCTCTTCCGCTCAGGGCAAACAGATGCGGTCTCTGCTTAGGCCATAGATAAGACTAGAATACACATCTCACCAGTGTTACTTGCTAAGAAAGTTGATGAAATCAGCTTATTATTTGGTCGTTCTTTTCACCCGTATATGCGTATTGCAAAAGAAAACAAGAAAGAAAGCAAACTTCGGCAAGCCGAAGTTCATATACCCTTGCAGCTATTGCAAGAATTAAACATTTTTGAAAACATTAAAATTATAATTTACTTGCGTATAAGTTTAAAAACATTGAAGCTATGATGATTTGCAGCTCAATTATTTGATAGTTATTTTATATATTTTTATTGTTCCTATGGGAGCCATATGATATAGTCGTCCGACTTTGATGAAATTTAAACCGTAAATCGAAAATATTTAACCATTACTAAATGTCGAAGAACTAAACAAAAAATTAAAAAACAGAAAAGTTATAATTTTTTTTCATTTATTTTTCCGATTGTTCCTATGGGAGCTATATGCTATAGTCGTCCGATTTTGATGAAATTTTTACCATAATTCTGAAATATTTAACCATTGCTTTATGTCGAAGAAAAAAACAAAAAATTAAAAAACAGCAAAGTTATAATTTTTTTCAATTATTTTTCCGATTGTTCCTATGGGAGCTATATGCTATAGTCGTCCGATCCGGCTCGTTCCGACTTATATACTACCTGCAATAGAAAGACAACTTTTGGGAAAGTTTCATGCAGATAGCTTTAAAACTGAGAGACTAGTTTGCATATAAACGGACGGACAGACGGACAGACGGACATGGCTAGATCGACTCGCCTAGTGATGCTGATCAAGAATATATATACTTTATAGGGTCGGAGATGTCTCCTTCACTGCGTTGCAAACTTCTGACTGAAATTATAATACCCTCTGCAAGGGTATAAAAAGAACATTTTTTGTAAATCTTATATTTTCTGAACAGGTCTCAGATTTGGTAGAGTTGAGAGATATCGCACTTGAACGGAGGACTACATTAAAAAGTTGGAAAGGCTACGCTGAGTTCATGGCAGACTATGAAAAATTGGGACACACGAAAACTGTAAATCCAATACATCCCCAAGGTGCATTACTTTATCCCATTTCACTGCGTCCTAAAATCTGCCAGCACCACCACCACGACGCATGGTTCAAGACATCAAGCAGCAAGTCCTTAAACGATATATTGCATAACGGTTCAACTGTCCAGGGCGAGTCAAAACTCACACGTTTATATGTACAGTCAAGTGTTGATTAGACCGCACGATCAGGTTCATCAGGTAAAAGTCTGGAGAAGGAACCCGTCGGAAGAGATTAAATATTAACGCCTTAGGACGGTAACGTTTGGAACTACATCTGCTCCGTTTCGGGCAACAACATTTTTTACGAAAGGACAAGTATCCGTTGGGATCAGCCACGCTCCGAGATAACTTATACGTGGAAAACTGCCTCACAGGATACGATTGATGAAATTATTCAGGTTTGCGATGAACTGAAGCAAATTCTAATTCCAGTTGGTCCTAAATAAATAAAAGGAATTTCGAAAGAGGACATTGTAAACGACGTAATTTGGGTTCCTAAAAGCTACAAGAATCAAGAATTGCCTGCTTCAAATTGGCACAGATCTTTTATCCATTCGAGCTGTTTGCACCGGTTGTGGGTAAGGCAAAAATATTTTTGCAACTACTGTAGGAGACGAAATTGGAATAGGATGACGAGTGTGAGAATGTTCTCTGGTCGGGGTACAGATCTCAGTCAGGTCCAGAAGTCCTTTACAAGAAATTTGTAAATCACCGAAACACCGGACTAGAGAGTTGTAATGATCCTGCTTTGCTGAGGTAGCTCAACGGAGTCCAGGTGTTCGTTCCAACATCTATTTATGTCAGGAGTGGTTGCTGGAAGAGTTCGACCCGGTTCCCAGAGTATGACACGTAAGCGGGGTTCAGTGAAATCGAATCGGTATGCGTTTGTTAAGAATTATCGTGTACATATGATAGATAGAGTTCGTGCTGCAGGGGCCCGTGTGCCCGTAGGATGCCGGGGACTTCTGCGTCGTCGTTCGGCGTCGTCGTCGCGGCCGGCGGCGGTGGCGGCGGGCGACCTGTGGGTGAGAAAGAAAAGGCCATGCTTATGTCTATGAGGATGAGACAGTTTGGAGGCCGCTTGGGTCTACCAGTTGCGAGCAGAGGGTGGAGGCCGCTTGGGTCTACCAGTTCCGAGAAGAGGGTGGAGTCCCCAGAAGATCGGGTGGCACTAATGACGGTCGGTCTTGGGGTGTGGGATCCCAAAGGTCGGATATCACTGATGACGGCCGGTCTTTAGGGGGGCGGAGAAGGAATCCCAAAGGTCGGATATCACTGATGACGGAGGAGGGTGGGAAGAAGGGGAAGGGGGGGGGGATAGCTAACTACAATGTATTGGGCGGACGGGGTACTAGACCCTATCCCGAAAAAGACTCCGCAGTTAACTCCCAGAGAAGTTTGCTCACACCAATGCGTAAGCCTTACCTTCTCCGCTCGCCGTCGGCCGCAGAGTGAATCTTTATGGGCCACCGGCGCCCTTTTTATATCTCTCCTGGCCTTTGCCAGTCACAATTAGTGTGATTAGTTTCCTAATCATATAGCCAGTGCCATAACGCGTGTGGCCTGTGGTGGCCGTTGGTCAGTGTGACCGTTTCTTTTGTTTGGCGCGCCCGCCCGGATATTTAAATTTGAATATTTGCGTTTTAACTTATATTTATTTCGGCTTCTTGCCTACTTAACTTCTTCTTGCATTTTACTACTATCTTAATCTATAACTACTGCTTATGTTTATTATTTGTTTATTCTTATATATTATTTTTATTCTGTGCGCTCCTGAGCGTCACAGAGTTTCATTCAACGAGTGAATGAGTTGTTTGGGGGGTCACGCCGAAGGTTCTCATGGACGTCGCGAGAGAGAGAGTGATGCCGGAGTTGATCACATCGTATCCTGTAGCCGAGTTAAAAATCCAACGGGCTGGACCTTTGGGCGAGGCCCAGCCGGTCGAAATATTTCGCGAGAGCGGGAACGTTGGACGAAGACACTGATCACTTCGGTGATTGCCCAAGCCGTTTTCCACGCGTCGGAGGCCAAAAATCCGCCGGGTTGGATTTGCGGACGAGGAACGGTAGGTGATGTCACTGATCACTTCGGTGATCGGGGCGCACGAGCGGTTTTCCGCGCGTCGGAGGCCAAAAATCCACTGGGCTGGATCTTCGGGCGAGGCCAAGACGGGTAGAATTTTTCAGGCGGACGCAGATAGAAGGGAAAAGGTTGGTGATACTATCGACCGGTCGGGAATGATGTCCACGCGCAAGTCGCATGCACTACGAGGAGGGAAGCTAGGGTATAGGGCAAGACGGGATGGGTGTCCACGTGCGAGTCACAGATACTACGAGGAGGGACTCGAAAAATTACCGCGGGAGACACGTCTTTCCCGTCTTATCATTCCGACACAAGAGAGCGGAAACTTCCTCGTTGTTGGACTACCTTTCCCCCCCTCCCCTTTTCTCCCCTTCGGGATTTCCGGTAAATTTCTTACTTTCTATTATTTCATGCTAAATATTGGCTAGCGTTGCCACTCGGATTTGGAACTTAGCTATGACTTAATGTTCTGTCTCAACTAAATATTTATTATTCATAACATGTCGCTTACAACTATAACATTACATACTACTAATAATTGTAAAGTACACCTTCTAGGTGTGTACGTTACACGAGTTGTCAGAAGATCTGCAAGGTGAATGCATATGGGACGGCAATTTACACTCGTGCAACTTACAAAAACAAACAGATTTCAGTTAGACTACTCTGCTCAAAGTCCCTAGTAGCTTCAGAGGCGAAGCAGAAGCTCTCTCGATTGGAACTGTGTGCTGCAGTTTTAGGAACCGAACTCACCGAAAGGGTCAGAACGGATCTGTGCTTGAATTTGCTTACCACTTTCACAAAATGCAGCCTTAGTGGCAAAAAAAACAACAACAACGACAACGAGAACGGCTTCGTGCTAAAATCGTTGCTCTGCATACCATACCAACAAATAGAGTTTCCTGTAGAATTGCACCAGCTACAACGTAATAAGACGGTGGACAAGAAGAGCCGCATTATATCATTATCTCCTGTACTGGACGAGGATGGGTTAATAAAAGTCGGAGGAAGGCTCTATAATTACCGTTAAATTTATTTACCAAAGTCAGTATCAAACACAACCAGCCCAGCGAATCACCGTTGGCCAATTGTTAGGCTACGTATATTTGCGCAACTTTTGTGGAAAAATTAATCACATTCTAAGCAGTTTGTAAACATAAGAGTGGCTTGATGCTGTACCGAGAAAGTGTTATTCATTCACATAGCTAGATCGAGGCTCCTTGTGATGCTGATCAAGAATGTAAATTCGTTATAGGGTCGAAAATGCATCGTTTATTACGTTTGCCAACTTTTGTGGAAAAATGTATCACATTCTAAGCAGTTTGTAAACATAAGAGTAGCTTGATGCTGTACCGAGAAAGTGTTATTCTGTTTGATTCAATTTGGTCTATAACGCAAAGCGGAACAAGAATGACAAAAATACATTTTTTAATGCGCGCCGGGTTGCGAAAAGATCCTCCCAACAGTATTATAAAACTTTTTTTCTAATTGCAGACTGGGGACTCCGTATTTTTGTGTGGCATTAGCGCTGTATCTACATAAACAGTATATTTAAAGGGCAAACGATTACGAAATTGCGACAAATCGAACATAATATTTTCGCTATTTTTGGGAAATAAACATCTATACCAGACAATTATTCCCTTTTTGTGATTTTATTTTTAGCCATAACCGTATTTGATTCGGTCGTAGCTTGATCTTATAAGGTTGGATACGCTATCTGATATTCATTTTAACATCCTCTATATCTATTACTAAAGAAAACTTAATTCATATTTTAAAATTTTCTATTAATGTGTATTTTATTAAATTTTCAGCGAGAAATTTACTAGATTTTGCCAGTGGAAGAACCTGGAACTAAATATACAAGTACGTATAACAGGCTTTTTCAATAAAATATTTGTATTGTATAAAAATATCTACAAATTTAAATTTTGTTGAAAATAAGTGTCGAATGACACCCAATTTGCTTGGATCCGATCCTCCGTTCAAAATTTGTTAAAAAAATAATTATTTTATTATTGGTATATCTCAAAATGAAAGTTTTTTCGTGTCTGTTTATCTGTTTCAAAAAATGTTTAGGAATTTAATTATTTGGGAATAATTTTTCATGTATTGGGCACGTCGTTACAAAAAAAGATTGCTCTAAAACTTTTTGAAAAACTAGTTTATTTAACGGAACATTGCTAAAAATAGCTAAACTTTTCACGGCTATAACTTCTAAAGAAGTAAAGCTATAGGTAGAATATATATGTAATTCATAACATAATTGGTGTAAATAAAACAGTTAAAAAATTAGTTCGATTTTATTATTTTTTACCCTTGAAAATTTTTAAAAATGGTTGGAACCGATTTTTGTTTAAGTTTTTACGTATACAGCTTCAGTCTTCATTTCACAAAAACACCCATTATTCTGCATAGAAAACCAAATCCATATTTGTCGGAGTTGTTGGTTACTCCTTAAAGAAGTTCACCCAACTGCGAGCTTTCTGCGGAATCTACACAGAGTAGACACTTATACTGAGCTTGCAGATGACTTACCCTCCTCACCCAGCCAAAATGGACATTTTTATTTAACTACGACAAATCGCTCAACTTATATTCTTATGTATGTGGAAACAAAATGTTTTCTGTATTACGTAATTTAGGAAATGGCTTATCTAAAACTTCTAAAAAAGCTCCGGTTAGAAAGCCTTATGTGTTAAATCAAGGATTGATAGTTACCATTTTTTATTTTTAAAAACAAAAAAAATTAGTTACGGAAGACTCCAAGATATATATGTTTATGTATAATTAAATAAGTAAGTTGAATATTTCGATCAAAAAATAAAACTTTCAAGTGAAGCGGTATTTGGTTCTTATACAAGGTCCAAAGTAAACAGGACATTTTGAATCTAGCGCCCTCTAGTGACGCCATCTATATGTCAACTGGTGCGTTTGAATCTGCTATCGTTTATCATTCATAAAAAATCAGCCGTAATCATCATTGAAATTAATGGAAATAGAATTGAACATCTCCAAAACATTGATTTATCGCATTTTGACCGAACATTTGGGCTTACAAAAGGTGTGAACACGATTTATTCCGAACAAATTGACTGACGTCGAAAAATTGCCCAGAATTCAAAATTCGAAGGACATTATTAAAGAGGCAAAAAATATCCGAACTTCCTTTACAAGATTGTGACTGGTGACGAAATGTGGTGTTTTCAATATGATCCCGAAACGAAACGCCAGAGTGCTGAATGGAAGGCGCCGGACGAGCCGAAACCAAAAAATCGCGCCTGGAGTAGTCGAAAGGGAAGACAATGCTGATTTGTTTTTATGATTCCAAAGGGTATTGTCCACAAAGAATTTGTTCAACCCAGCCAAAACGTTCATGCGTTCTACCTTGCAGTTTTGAAGCGTTTGGTGTGCCGTAATCGATATGTTCGGTCCTAATATTGCGAAGATGGAAGTTGACGTTTTTTGCACGATAGCGCCGTCTCATCGATCGACGCTTGTGTCCGACTATTTAACCAAAAATCACATTTTAACCATCAACCACTCCCCGTGTTCACCTGATATGGCACCGTGCGACTTCTACCTTTTCGGAAAAATGCAATTGCCGATGAAAGGAAAGCGTTATGCAAACGTAGAGGCCATTCAAAAGGCTTGCACCGGCATACTGGCGGCCAAACCGGGCAACGAGCAACAACACTCGTTCGACATGCTTTTGGACCGTGCAAAACGCTGTATTAAAGCAGAAGGAGACTATTTTGAATAGAATAAATGGATTTTGCCGAAAAAACTTTTTGTTCTGTCTTTTTCTTTAAAGTCTTGTTTACTTTGGAACTCACCTTTTATTTGTATACCCTTGCAGAGGGTATTATAATTTAAGTCAGAAGTTTGCACCGCAGTGAGGGAGACATCTCCGACCCTATAAAGTATATATATTCTTGATCAGCATCACTAGGAGAGTCGATCTAGCCATGTCCGTCTGTCCATCTGTTAAATTTTAAAAAATTTAACGTTTTTATTTTGTAATTTTTTTTAGAAATTCTTTTTGACTATTTAATTATTTGACAGTTCAGAATTACGCTTTTAATTTTATTAAAATCGGAAAAAGAATTGACCTGCAAATCATCACAGCTTCAATGCTTTTAAACATACACGCAAGTAAATCATAATTTTAATGTCTTCAAGAATATTTCATTTTTGTAATAGCTGCAAGGGTATATGAACTTCGGCTTGCCGAAGTTTGCTTCCTTTCTTTTTAAGTCAACGAAATGGGAGTGCGAATTAAAATAAAACTCAACAAAAAATTAAGCAAACTTGTTATACGCTTTACAGCTATTGCCAAAATTAAATGTAAATAAATAATAATAGTAGTTAGTTTTGGCGACCTTTCCAAAATATTTTAATTGTTAGCCGGCTCGAGGTCAGAATTTTAATTTTTGTTATTTGTCGAAATATTTCCGATGCTTTTCGGCAACCGTCTTCAGAACAACTATAAAATAATAACAACGGTTTAATTATTCTTAACAAACAAACACAATTTACATTTAACATACATTTAATTTACACGTCTGCGTCCGGTGACGTGGAGTTGCTAACTATGTTTTCTTTTTCTTTCCCTAGTATATGTCTATATATATAAGCGCAATTGTCGGTGTCCGTAGGTGTTTTTATGATACGTATCATTTCTATGGTGAACCGTGTGGCATAGTGTTGTTCTTGTGTCAAGATACTCGCCTCTTCGAAGTACGGAGAGTGATTATTTTTGGCACAGTGACTCTTGAGTGCTGTTTTTTGCCCGTTGGTATGGTGTCTAGCTGTGAAGTCCGATTTATGCTGTGCTAGTCTAGTTTTTAGTTTCGATTTTGTTGTTCCTATATATATCTTGTTGTATATTTCGTTGTTGTTGCCGTTGCACGGTATTATATATATATATATCATGTCTTTGTCAATTTCATTTATCTTTAATTTTGTTCTGTTGTATATAGATTTTAATGTGGTTTATGTGCGATGTTTTCATTGTCGTAGCAATCCGATTTCGCTACACGTTCGGAAAAAGCCGGGACATTAACATTGACATATATTTTTTGTTTTTATTGCTTTTAACGCTGTTTTGTTTTGTGTTCCGATAATATTGTTTTTATTGTGTGTTTTGGGAAATCGTTGTCTGTCAATATTGATTTTATCTTCTGAGTGGTCTCTTCGTGGTAATCCGTGTCTGAAATTTTGAGCATTTGATGCCTACAGTTTCTAGCTGTATTTTTTTACCAATCAGCTCCTCCATCAGATCACCATCTTATGCATTATTGAAATACATCATTGACATATTAAAAACATAATATTAGACCTCAACTATAACATAAAAAATCCAGAAAAAATCAACAACACATATATTGGCGACGATGAAAGATTAATTTCATTTGACGTAATTTCATTATATCCGAGTATACCGACAGATCTAACGCTGGATATAATTAAAAACAAATGGACAATAATATAAGAACACATTAAAATACTGTAAATAATACTTATGGACATAATAACATTTTGTATTTAACTTACACTTGTATTTTTACTTACAATTAAAAGAAATGCTTATTCGCCGGTCATTGCACTGTCGTGGTAGTAGCGCGGTAAAGCGGCCCAGGCGGTGGCCAGCCCGGATTGTCGGTCAGGAAGGTTCTACTGTGTGTTCGGTGGGATTGGCTGGGAAAGCAGGCAGTATGAGCTGCTCCCTTATGACCAAACGGTCATCAAGTCTGTACTACCAACAACTGTACCGCTTGGAGACAGCACTCATGCAGAAGAATCATGTTTGATCAACAAAGGCCGAACTGTCTTCCATCAGGACAACGCCAGGCTCACACAAAGCTCGGCTGGGAGGTTCTTTTGCATCCACCGAAATTGTCTGAACCTCGCTCCAAGTGATTACCAACGTTTCTGTCCATGACGAACAAGCTTGGTAAAAAAGAGCCCCCTGAAAATGGGCTCTCCGAGTTTTTGTGCCAATAAGGAAGCTAGCTTCTATAAGACGTGCAATATGAAGTTGACATCTCGTTGGGAACTATTCATCAAACATAACTTAAATTGCATTATTATGATCAATTTTAGAAAATAACTGAAAATACCACAAAAATGATACTTTATAAAACACCTGCAATAGAAACACAATTTTTGGGAATGTTTAATACTTTATAAAACACCTGCAATAGAAACACAATTTTTGGGAATGTTTAACCCAGGTAGTTTTAAAGCGGAGACCTTGTGGTGCTGATCAAGAATATATTTACTTAATAGGGTAGGAAATGTTTCCTTCACTGCTAAAATTATAACATCCTCTCCATTTAATTTTTAGCGCCTAAGTATACAAAAATTATTTAAATTAATTCATCAGTCACAATGAGTTCAAACTTATTGAGATTACTTACTCCCACATGATTGGGGAGGATGTTCCTACTTAGGTGCTTTGTATTATGTGCTAGGCATCGACACAAAAGGTCTTCTTTGGTTTCCTCCTCGTCTATCTTTGTTGAGAAGTAGTGTTGGATCCAGGTGGGTCATGGAGTCCTGTATTGCCATGACTTGGCAATACACTAAATTGTTGGTAAACGAAAAGAGTATCTGACTCAGGTAAGTCTAACTCCGCCTCCTGTTTGCTTGTTCAGCTTAGTCCCATCCGTTAAAATATTGATGGCATTTGCAAGTCCCAGTCTGTACGTGATGGGATGAAAATGATGTATAGTTTCAAATATTTCATAAAGCGAGTGACATATTCCGTTGTGCTGGGTAAGTTTTTGATAGTCTTTAGTATAGTAGAGTGGCCCGTTGGTCCTGATAGCCAATGCGATAGCGATTGCTGCAGCATGCCCTTA